AGTCAGGAATTAGTCTGTAATTGTTGTGACAGCAGGGGGGGGGGCCCCATCCTTGGGTGGGCTGTGTGGGGCCCTGCTGTGACCGTGTGGGGACCATATGGGACCGCAGGGGACAGCGCTGGCTCTGGCCGGGGAGGGGGGGCTAGGGCTGGGCATGAGGAGGCCTTGATAGGTGTTGACAGGGCGCGATCATGCACGTCAGGTTAATTAGGTGGCATCATTTTCAGCATAATTGCGCAGAACAGGTCAGTAGATAATTAGTGACTTTTGTCCGCGTCAGACAGCTGCGGGTGGATGGTAGGGGTGGAGGGACAGGATAATTTTAAAAATCACACCAGGAGCTCAGGGATGGGCCCCACCACCATCTCTACTCAGACCCTAGGTGGGTGTTTCCTGCCCTCCATGGCTCCAGGATTAAAATCTGAACCACTTCGTACCCTTTCCTCGTTTTATATAGATATATGTTTGTGTCATCATCATGTATAATTACTCATTTTTTCTCCCATAAGGCATCTGACACAGACCCAGAATCTGGTAAGCTACTGTGGAAAAACTGGGCCTTTGTCACACTCAGTAGCCCTGAAGACATCCGTGCTCCCGAGCGTGCTGGTCAGAGCAGCAGGACATTTCCCCCACTCAGACATGCCCTCAGCAGCCCCTACCTCCATGCAAGAGCCCAGAGTGGCATGTCCCCTCGGTCCTCTGCTCCCCTAAAGAGCTGTGGGAAACCCGTGTACAGACACAGAGCTACACAAGGTGAGGGCAAACCCAACCTGCGTGAGAAAACTGTGTCACACGTGCCTCTCCATAAAAGCATGCACACAGGTATTTATGGCGTACCTCAGGCAGGGTGCCTTCCCACCCTGCCTCTCCTCGCCCCCGCGCAGTCATACCAGTCGGCCTGGCTCCCCGGAGGCACTGCACCTCTCACCCCGCTGCGAACCTGCACCTCCATCCTGCTAATGACACAGCAGCCGAGCTGCCACGGGACAACATGACTCCAGAAGCTGCTGCCTGGGAAAAAAAAAAAAAAAAAAAAAAAAAGAAACCAACCAAACAGCCCTAAATATGCACAATCAAGTGATGAGTGTTTGTATTTCTGATGCTTTGAGGCCAGCTCACAACCCTCCCTCCACATAATATTCAGGATGTTTGGGAAGGGGTATTTTTCTTTTAATAGGATGGCGTAGTCACAAAGCTTTAAGGAAATAAATGAGTGAATCGTCCATGGTAATAGCAACATACTACGAACGGGACACGGTGACGAAGTTCAAGTCTATTTTTAAACCTGCCTGGTAGCATGTAGGTGCAGACAAGAGTCTACGACCCTTTCTGCTATTCTGAAGCTATGGATATGGCTGATGTCTCTGTCCCAGTTCAACGTCAGAACTGTTTTTGCTCCCCAACGAATACTATGGGAAGACAGAGAAGCCTCGAGCTGTTTTGAAGATTGTGCAACGATGCTTGGGAACCTACCTGCTTTTGCTTGAGTGCTTTCCTCACATTTCACAGGATGCGACAGGAAGGGAAATACAACCGAATCGGACGGCCCTGGTAATTGGACTCAAATGCTTCAAATGCCCTGGGGGTGAGGTGGGTGCCTCTCAGATAAGCAATCTAATCAGCTTTGCACTTGTGTCCCATCTGGAAACAGATTGTTGCCGAAGTACACCACCACCTGAGAAGCAAGCTTCAGGTTTTTTTTGAAGATAATTGTACCAACGAAATCAGGGAGTGTGAATTTGCCTGAGGTAATAAGATCTCTTTATTTTTATTCATAGTTAATTCATTCAGCTGAGGCGATTTCATGCCAGAATGCAGTCTTCAAACAAGAAGGACGATTGCACTCCCTGTGCCGCGCATATGCATGGTGCCTGCCTGGCAGATCGACTGCTGCGACAAAGAGCCATGAGCCACTCCAGACACATGGGCAAGATAAGGAAAAGGCTGGAAGAGATCAAGAACCAGTGCCCGAAGCTGACAAAAGCAGATTTCAGCCACAACGAAAGTATAAGGTTGGCCACCGATGCCTTCTTGGATGGTGGGACAGACTCCTACCTCGAAACTTTAAGCAAAGAGGGTGAGGTGGATTTCCTCTCCTCAGTGGAAGCTCAGTACATCAAGGATAATGCCAGGGAGTCTTTTTATGCACAGGAGTCCGTAGCTGCCGACGGGGCGGCTGCACCAAAGCAGAACGATGCTGGGTCGCTCCCTTCAGGGACCTACTTCCCCACCATTTCTGACAGCAGTGAGCCAGCTCTGCTGCACACGTGGATTACAGCAGAGAAGCCTTATTTAAAGGAAAAATCCACTGCCACTGTGTATTTCCAAACAGAGAAGAACAGCAACATTAGAGACATCATACGCCGGTACATCAACAAAACCACTCAGGTATGGGAAGAGAATTGCTGTTCCCTCTGCACTCGGTTGTCTTTCTGCTCTTAAAAAGATCAGGTAAATGTGGTGTTTGATCTGAGCCAGCCTTGTGCCTCGCAGTGTAGCTTTGTTTTAGAAAGTGGCTCTAAAGATCCCATTGTTGAGCACAGACAGTGCTTTTTTTTTTTTCCCTCACACCAACATCTTTTTATGTTGGTGACTTGAAAAAATAAACATTCCCTCTTTTAAACTCCATTAACTCAGCAGAGCAAATGTGCCATAGAAAGGGCAGCTGGGCTCTGTACCTTCTAGTCCATCACCAACAGGATGGTTTGCTCTGCTTAGACCATTTCACCAGTAATGAGAATTAAGCTGTAGCGAGCTCTGAGCCATTTGTGATTGTTTCAGGGGAGATGTGGGTGAAGGGGAGCCCAAAGAGGAGCATGTGTGTCTGTTGTGCCAGCAGCCATCCCCAGAGGAAGGAAATTATTCAGAAAAAAAGACCTTTCATCCCTAATATATTGTCAGTGTCACTAAAAATGCCACGTGGGCTCCATACAGAGACTCTGCAGCGTAACTTGGCATGTGGGAAAGGTGCGGATGATGCCCCTGATAATAGACAAAGTGATGGGGGGGCTGCAGAGAGGTGCCAGCCACAAGCCAGGCTGCCCACGTGCTGGGAAACCAGAAGTTGAGCAGCTGGAGGGGCACAAAAATTCCCTCTCATGTGTTCTGGCAGCTCTCCTGTTTTCCTGGAAAAAAAAACCCTCTTTGAGATTTCAGGGCTGTGTTTACCATCATCCAGGAGCTTTCCCCTCGTATGAACTCGAGACACCACCAGCAGTTTCACAGGGGAACGGTCAGGAAGGAGCAAAACCAGGCTGCAGTGCCTACTGCCCGGCATAGGCTGCCGAGCCCACTGGCGCTGCGGACTTCGGCTTTATTATTCTGTAAGGGCAAGTGCTGGGTCTGACAATCCTGAGTGTAATGGCAGGGGAGAAGAATCCCCTCTGGCAACTGCCCTGTTTACAGCACATCAGGGGAATTACAGATCAGTCATTTTAAGTTAGCGGCATCCGAAAGATACAGCAACAGAAGAAATGTCTCTGGAATAGTAAAATAAGCATCAATGAAGTATCAACCCAGGCCAATTTTCTGTCTCAAGAGGAGAAAACTTGTAAGGGAAAAAGTGGGAAGCGTAATATAAATCCATGGTTCACATGAACTTCTATAACCATCTAATTTACATTACAAGAGGGTGCTGGGGCAACACTTACACACAGTATGCATTTGACAGCTGCTTTTTGAGTACAGCTTTTCAATGGCAATATTTATTAATTGGTATTTGGTAAGGACCCATCCTGGGTAACCTAGTATTTGATATATCCATTATCAACTTAAACAACAGAATAAAGACTATGTTTGTGGATGACATCAAACTGCAAAGGATTGGTGAGTAGTACTATAATCTTAACACATCTGCAGAATAGGCACAAATCATAAAATGAAATTTGGGCAAAAGAAGCAAAAGTACTGCAAGTAAGAGAGTAAAGTCAGGTGCAGAAATAGAAACCGGGAACACCTGGTGAAAAAGCAGTACTAGAGAGAGTGGGCTGGAGCTACAGTGAGGCTGGATGCATAGTATGCCATTTAAAAAAGGCAAGGTGAGTTAACAGTAAGTGTGGATGTGAGACATTGGACATAATTGTGCCAGTTACCTAGCACTGGCACGGCCCTTCCTGAAGCACCGTGCTTTAGCAGCAGAAGGAAGGTGGAGCCTTGCTGCTCTGCAAATGATTTGGCTTGCCTGAACAGGATGCTGGCCACGCAGGATGTGCTTAGTCTTGTGGGATTTTCTCGTGGGTGCGAAGGGAATAAACTCACTGGCAAGTGTGGGAACAGGCTTTGGAGTAAGATTCAGTGCAAGTTGGAAGCAATTAGTAAGACAGATCTGAAGTTTGTTTTGGTTGAAGATGATACCCAGAATGCAACTATCAGGGGTTCTTTCTCTAGTCAATGGAGAAACAGGCACCTTCTGAAGACAAGTCAGGTATTAGCTGGGCAGAATTGCCCTGGGGAAATTACCTTTTCCGTGAACAATAGCAAATGTCAGTGAAGACCTGCACCTTCAGGAGCCAGTGCCACTGAGTGTAGGGGCTAGAGTACAGAAGTGGTTTTATATCACATTTACAGTTACATTGATCCACACTGGCTGGAGGCTGTGCATTTAAGTAGCTGTCTGCTTCTATGCCCAGTCCTGAGACTTTTACACACTGTCCTGCCAATTGTGAATGGAAAAGAATGGATGTATGGTTAAATTGAAACAGTTAAGTTTATGAAACAGCATTAAAAAAACCCAAAACAGATGGAGCTGTTTCAGTCTGCCACCCCACCACTACCACCAGAGTGAGAATTTAAAGCCAGGACCGTTCCAGGTGTAAGTCATAACAGACAAAGCATCATACAGTGATTCTTGCATTTTAAATGCATGTGACTTAGGAAAGTTAGTCAGCCATTTGGCAAGGGCTGCAGTCTCTTGAATTTTTAGCTGCATCCTTATTATTCTCCGATTAGCGCTTCAATGTACTTCCTAGTGCTGAAATCTCACCTACAAATTCATGGGTCATCTTGTGTTTATTAAAAGAGCTTAACTGAAGTGTGTATGTTGCATGTTATATTGGCTTTTTATGAGCAATAAAACAATGAAGCGACATGTCTTATTGATTCACTGATTCAGAAACTTAGGGAGAAAACCAGAGGAAATATCCACGTGTATCTCTGAAGATTTGTGTTTGTTGTAATATTTTTTTAAAACCAGATAAACTACATTTCAGTGGCCTTAAAGGCAAAGTTAAATCATGTCAAATGACTCTGCTAATGCCTATGCTTTTTTTCCCCTAGGTGCTAGCTATCGTGATGGATGTGTTCACAGACACTGAGATTCTCTGTGACCTCCTGGAGGCAGCTAACAAGCGCATGGTGTTTGTCTACTTGTTGCTTGATCATGGCAATATAAATCTCTTCTCAGAGATGTGTGACAAGTTGCAAATTGCTGAGGATCTCTTCAAGGTACTGTGGCTCTGTGAAGCTCTTAGGCTCAGATTTGTCTGCCTAACTTTAGGTACTCTGAGCTAGAGGTATGGTTATGCTAGGGCCAGTCCACCTTGTAATTAAAAGGGAGCAAGAGATTTCCAGAGGAACATTAGTGCACGTAATTCCTCTCTGGAGATGTGTACATTTTCCCATGGATGTTATAGGAAATTAAGGCATTTCCATTAGGGCCTTAGATGAGATGAATCTGGGTCCTGAAGTCTTAAAAAAGAGCTTAAGTCCCTTAGTAGAGTTATCTAACAGAAGCATTGCAACTGCTTCCGTTTAGTAACTGTGGTCTGTTTAGTAACTCAGCAGCTGTGGTCTGGCAGCCACGGGTAGCAGGCACACAAAACTCTTCTGCATGGCAATACTTTGGTTGCACTAGGTGGTTTCCGATAGGTGGTTTCTGATGTTAAAGCTCTGTTTTGAAGATAATGGCTCAAATGTAGTTGGCTGTTAGCTTAGTCCACCTTCATCTCTGCTGGAGCAAACTTATCTTAAAAATAACCTCCAAGGGACCATTTCAGTTGTTGTCTGAGATGCTGTAGGGCACCTGGAGCATCTTTGTGGGGATGGCTGGTACTGTGGAGGCAACAGTCTTCTGGAACGGCAGCTGAAGGGCAGGCAGGAGACCTGAGGGCATCTTACGTGCACCAGACACCTGTGTTTCAACAGCTGAATTCCACCCCAAATGTACAAAGAAACTGAAATTAATAAAACATGCTTATAACTGTGTTTGCATGTCTGTAAAGCCCCACTACTTAGGAAGAACAAGCCTGTGCTGTTCATTTAAGTATGCTGCTACAACACACAGGCTTCAACAATGTGTGAGCCAAATTCTTGGTGCCACTCATTTACCAAGGCCTTGATTCTGCAAAGTGTGTGTCCAGAGAGCAGGGTCAGGTCTGGGTGCCTGGCCTGCCTGAAATGCACTCGCTCAGGTACGAGGACAGTGCAGAGCATCGTATGGGCCAAACTGAGCTTCTCGGCTCACACGTGTACTCGCGTCCGATCCTGCAGGGCAGCACTCCTGTGGGCACCACTGGAGGAGCAGCATGTATTCCTGGCAGGCCCACGTGGATTGGGAAAGCAGACATTTTGCCCTGCTGTATTGTGCCACAGCCAATGTAAAACAAGAAAACTAAAGCAAATTGTTGCTGGGCTGTGAGTGGAAGTAACAGACTGCTCTCAGCTATGGACACATACAACCTTTTGGTTGGGGTAGCATCAGTTACTGTTCCACAGCACAGCTCCATCTGCGTGAATTTCCACGCAGGTTTATATCCCCACTGAAACAAATAACCCTGCGGCAGGTGAGAGAGCTTGGCTAGGTTTCCTCTAGCCCCAGACCTTCAAATATAACACTGGAGAGTCCATGAAGAAATCGTAACAGACGCTGGGGAAGTGAAGAGCTAAAGGCAGTGGGAGGAAAGGGCCCTTCTGATTTTTAAACTTAGAAAAACGTAATTTACTCCTTTTTTTCTTTACAGAATATTTCAGTCCGTAGTGTTACTGGAGAGGTTTACTGTGCCAAATCAGGCAGAAAATTTTCAGGACAAATACAAGAAAAATTTCTTATCTGTGACTGGAGATACGTGCTTTCTGGATCTTACAGGTGAGTTAAGTCATTACAGTTCATGTCTAGGTGCTCTTTTGTGGTTTTTAATATTATTTCATAAAAAAGTATCACGGAAATTTTTGTACGGGTGAGAAAGTTTTTTTGAACAAAAATCCCTTATGTTTTCAAATATGTGTAATTTTTCAATAATCCATTTAACTTGTTTTAAAGCTGATGTTAGTTCTTTGTGGAGTGTAGTATTTAATTTAAATGTTCAGAAACTAATGTAAACAACCTTGCTGGTGTAGCCCTGGAGAACTAGAAATGTGTATAGCTTAATATTATGCTTCCTCATTGTTTGGGCCTCAGATGCGGTGATCATGAGACATGATACATTTCCATCTCCCTTGGGATCCTTTAATGTAGCATATGTCACTCAGCTTATCTGAGGATTTCTTCTCTGTATGACAAGTTTGGTGATTAAAGGTAAAACAGAAACACTTTAGAGACTTACTGTTTTTTTCTTGTGTCATTAACAGGTAGGAAGTATGTATCTACGTGACTCTTACATTTTTTTTTTTTTTTTTTGGTGAGCTGAGTCTGTTAACTCTCCACTTTTGTGCTGCTGTAATTATTTCAGGTAGAGGATGTAGCATTTCAACAGTTGGGTTTTTAATTAAGATCCAAGATCCTCCAGTCATGGAATTTCAGGAGACTGAGTTTGCATCAAATCAATGAAGTTCCTAAGCCTCATGGCTACATAGATAAGCTTCACAAATGACCGAGTGTATCCTAGAAATCCAGATGCAAAAATACAAGAGGTGATTATTTAATTAAAATGATTAAATTGTTTTTCTTAATCCTAGTTTATGATTTGGAAGTTTAAATGCCTCTAGTCTGATAAAAGTGTGTCACCAGGAAGATTACATAACTATAGTAACAAAGGTAAAAGTGAATATGTAGGGTTAGCATAGGCTACAGGAGCTCAGCTGTCCACAGAGGCAGGCATCTAGCTTTTGTTCAGTTTCCAAATGAACCATCAGACAAAAACGAGTGATCATTCAGTGTTTTTTGTTGCATTTTTTATTTTATTGGCCACTCTGTGATTTTCTTGATCTTTCAGGGTTTTTTTAGTCCCTCACCAAAAATGTGTAGAAATGCAAGAGCAGATTTATATATAGAGTAGAAGTGAAGGATGTGTGGGAGAAGAGGGACAGAACAAGATCTATTTTCTCTAGCCAAGAAGCTTCCTTTTGGTTTCTCTTTTCAGTACTAAAAAGAATAAAACCAAAGTCCTGTGCAGAGTCACTTCTGTCATTCTCTACTGCTGTTGCAATATCTTGTAACCTCAAGAGCCTTGTCAAGCTACATAATCCCCTACCCAGCAAGCAAGCAGGGAGGGTGGTGAGGAACAGATCTATACACTGTTTACCTTCAGCATGCTCAGCACCGGTTTGCAGATTCACATGGGTTATAGCTTGCTATTGGTGCACGGCATTTATGTAGGCTTGCTAGCTCTCACTTTCTTAATCTGAAAGTTTTCTGTTATCTTTAAACCTTAACCACCAACCTCTGCAGGTATAAACAAGAATGATGTAAAACAAACTTCTGCAATGCATTTGTTGGAAATCAGGTTGGAATAGATCTTAAAACTAATACAAAAGATCTTTAATACAACAGCAAATTCCGTCTAAGTGTTGTGCTTTGCATGACTTCGTAATAGCAGTGGGGGGAACAGGGTGAGGAAATCAAATAGCCCTTCAGGACATACTGCTCTAAAAGGGACCCTGGCTCACTGTTTCTACCCAGAGTGTTTGGGCACACATTTGCCTAATGAACAATAAAGAGGATTGAAGCTGGCAACTAGTTAGAGGCAAAGGAACCAACACCGAGTCTGTGGCATCTTCTGCTCTGAAGTGGTTTTTAAAACCACGTTAAAAAACCATTGTCTTGGTCAGTGTGGGTAAGCATGGTCCTGCTGCACAGGGCAGACCAGGCCCTGAAGGCTGTTCCAGCCATGTGTCTGCACAAGTGCAGGCATGAGTAAGTGTTTTAAGTTACAGTTTTCCTCTCAATTTTTATTGCCAATGTCTATGGTGTAGGGTTAGGATGCAGTATTTCTTTTTGCTGTCTCTGTGTTAACTCTGCCCCATCCTATGATAACTGTGTTATTCCTTTTTTTTTTTTTTTAGATTAATTTGAAGTTAGATAGTGCATGAACTCTGCTCCTAAAGAAGGCAAAATGAAAACAGCAGCAAGCATAGACCTTGATCCTCAGGGGCAGCTGAGTACCTCCCTGGCTGCCATGCTGAAAGCCACCAGCCTCTTCAGAGCCAGTATCTGGCACTGGGGCGCTTTGCCAAGAGCATCCGTTCGGGAGGGGCAGACTTCTCATACAGATGTTATCCCACCAGCAGGCAGCACTAATGTGTAGGCTAATTCAAACCTGAGCTCAGCTGAAAAACCCAGTCCTTGGATTTCAGATTAAATGTGTGTAATGCTGCGTGTTACTGTAGCACTGTGAATGCCAGGGATGAGAGCATCCCTAATAAACTGCAGCTGCAGTAATGCAGAGGGTAGACTCGGAAAAACAAAAGTCCAGTGCAAATGAGGACTGGACAGGAGAGGTGGGTTTTGAGTCAGACAGTCATAAGTGAGAGGATCCAGAACAGGACATAGATTTTGTGACAAAGCCCTGGAAGGACAGCTGCAAATTATCTTCTTAATGACTGAATTTGTGATACAGCTTTGGCCCCAAGCTAGGCAGTACTTCTTTGTGCTTTCTCTTCCTTCTGATGTGCTTCACTCAAAGAGGCCTGCTAGAAGAATGATCCTTCTGGGCAGATAGTGACGATAGCAGACTTCTCTGAGCCTTTCCCAAAAGAACACTCGGAATGGTAAACTAAGGAGCAAAACAGGGCCTTAATCCTGAACAATTCATTGCCTCTTAGAATGAAGCTAATGAAAACCTGTTAAGTCTTTATGTCAAGTTTTGCTTTGTTCTTCAGCAAGTGCACAGAGTGTAAATTGCTGTGACTCACTACATGAAGTCCACAAACGTTTGTCTAAAATCTCACAGGTCTCACTTTGTTAATTTACAGCTGACCCATTTGCTATCAGCCCATGGAGAATCTTTGGGCTAGTAATTGGATCCAACTTTCTGTGTTAATAAGGGTTACAGATAAGACTGCTGAGCCACAAATGAGTATCTGTCCACCAGGTACTCCAGGAAGTTACACGTTAAATTATCAAAATGGGCACAAAAGTTTTTTGCTCTGATTTTGTTGGGTTTTAAAAAGCCATTTATGAATGTAGTTGATTTTTCTAAGCTTTCTTTTATAAACTAGATGTATCTCTAGCCCATAATGTATAAACCTGCCACTCCACACCTCAGCCCTTTCATTAGTATGTAACATTCAGCATAGATTTCCCAGGCTAATTGTGTGTGTTTTTATATTTATTCCTCCTTTATAATCTCCTTAACAGTTAGATGAAGGACATGCAAAGGTTGAGAGAGTGCTTCTTACTGCATACAGGCAATGTTGAGCTAGCAGAGCAGATGTTACCCCACAGCAGGGATTTTGCTTGCTGTGCTGTTTACCTCAGCTCCCAAGGTTTTGTCCGTATTTAGAGTGATTTGAACAAAGTGGATGAGCAGTGCCTCTGTTCTAGTAACCTACTGGGTATTTTCACATCCAATCATAAAATGTACAGTATATGTTGTAGGGTTGTCCAGTGGGATTGAACTAGTGATTTCTTCACACCTCCCCTTGCTCCTGAAGCACAAGTACAAAACCACTGTATGCCCCAAACCCAACCCTCTTTAAGAATGCTCTGGACAGGTAGATGTAAATTGTCTGTCTTTATTCCCTTAGCATCAGCTCAGGCTGTCAGTCCCACTGAGTTTCACAGGAGCTTTGTCAAAACATGACAAGAACAAGATTTAAAGTGCACACACCTACAGCCAAATCTGGCTCTCAGCAATCCTTGTGCAAATCCAGCGTAGCTAATAAAGTCACGGAGGAATAACCAGGGCAGACTTTTGCCAACACAGAATAACATCAGGTTCAAATCCAATGCTGCCCTGTATCCTCTGCTGCACACCTCGAGCCCCAGTCAGCTCAGGGAGTAATTACATTTCATTCTCTCAGCTATGCTCATTTTATTGGTGGTGCTGCTGCTCAGACAAGGCAGCCTGCACAGCACAATCAGGCTGGCTTGTGGCTTTGTAAAAGAGCACAGATCTATGTTTGTCAGGTGGATTAGGGAAGCGCATAAAAGAAAAATAATTTAAAAGCTATAGAGTGTCCTAAGGTGTGTCTCTGGACTACCAGAATGAAAACTACTGTGGTATTTCTCCCTTACTTTATAGGAAAGTAGGTGGGGTTTTTTTGAAAGGCTGCAGGAAATATTTATAATCTAATTTTCTCTGTAGTGAAGAAAATAAGCATTTGTCAGGTGTGGCAGTTTGTTTTGTGGGAATGGGATGTGACAGGGACATTGGGTTTTTATGTGTTTCTCTTGACCAATGCAGAAAAAGTATGGCAAAATGAAAACAAAGGGTGGTTATTTTTCACTAGTGTTTTTAAGGTTAGTTTTGAGAATTAGCAGTTGGCACAGAATTCTGCAGGGAAGGTACAATTTGTGTGTGTGCAGACAAGACATGGTAAGACCTGGATTTAAGCACTGTGCGTGGAAGAGAGGTACCCAAAAGAAGGGTCTAAACTCCTTTCCGTGGAGCAGACACCCAAACCTGGGTCTTGTACCTGACAGGCAGTGCTGCAGTGGATGTGGATCACCACACCCTGTAGGAGGTTGTATAACTTTACAAGGTTTCTTGAAGGTTTTAGAGGCAGCTGCAATAACAAAGTTTGATCCAAGTCAAAGAGCACTGATGTGAACTGACCTGAAATTCAACTGCGACACCATCTTCATCCTGTGTTTAGACAAGAAGCTTCAGCAGTAAAACACATTTGCCTTTCGCACCACCCCTGCGGGGATCTCCAGTTCCTAAGGGCTGATGTTAACACTAACCCTTACCTTGTCTCTCCTCCCAGTTTCACATGGTTATGCGGCCAGGTTCACCGCAACCTCCTCTCCAAGTTCACGGGTCAAGTTGTGGAGCTGTTTGATGAAGAGTTCCGACACCTTTATGCGCTGTCCAAGCCAGTGAGGGGACCAAAGTCTCCACCACGCACCATGCCCTTCCTCTTCAGCAAGAGCTGGGCCCCCCCGCGCAGCCTCCCCTACAGCGACGAGGGAAGCGCCAACACTCTTTCCGATCCGTTCAGCAGCCTCTCAGCTGGCAGCACCCACCAGGCCAAGCAAACCCCAAGAACTCTCATATTCAGCAGCAACTTCACCCCGCAGCCACCACTCCAGAGAGTTAATTCCTTCCACAGCTATGTCTCATTCACACCCCCCCCACCACAGGCAGCCATCCAGGCTAACTACTATCAGCCGCACTACGGGGCCGATAACTCTGCAGTTCTCTATAACAACATGAACATTTACAGACCCATAAGACTTAGGCAAGAGGAGCCAAACAGGACAGGGTTAAGCTCACCCTGGAGATGCCTCCACAAAGCTAACCTGTTTGCATAATAACCGCCTTGTTTTGAATTGCAAGTAAATGTAGTGAGGACCTGTTTAGCAATCACTTGTGTACTGATGAATATAGAAATTCTGTATAATACAAAATGAGGATGATTTCAAGCCTCTTGTTTTGTTTTGCTACTTATGGATGCTTCATTTCCCTAATTAAAAAGCCAAACTTGCTACCATGTAAACCTTGGGTGCTTCACAAGCCCAGGAAGAACACATCTAAATAATGCTGCTCACCGTGCAGCACTGCTGCTGCCTGTCACCTGCCCTTGGCAGCGTATCTGTGTAGCAGTAGATTTAGGTGATTACTGTTTTCCATAGGGCAGGCACCTGAAAGTGGGGAAAACACAGTTTATTACGCTACATTTTATGCACTTGCATAAGGAGACAGAAGGCTGCTATTTAAGTGCCAAACTGAGGCAATGTTGGCAGAAGCAGCCTACCTTTGTGCTGTCGTCTCACCTTAATCTTGGTTTAGGAGGACTCCTTTAGGTCTGACAGGGAAGCACAGTTTCTACCACTGCACTGCCACTGAGCTTTCTGCTTAAATGCAGATCAAGGACGTCTGTTCCCAGGGTTTCTAGGAAGGGGCCTACTAACTGTGACACGGACCGAGACCGACAATTCCGGTGACAGAGGACATCTTGCAGCCACCGTATGCTCGCTCCCACTCATTAGCAACTCGGGTGCCTTCCAGCACACTTTGTTACAAACCTCCAATCCCACTGGCTCAGAACAATTTTCCTTATTGCAGAGCTGCTCTTTAGATCCAGATTGGAAAATGAAGCTGAGTGAAGAAGTGAAGTCCTACTATTAACGCACCAGGACTGAGTTCCAATTCATTAATAGCATGTGGGTCTTAGAAATCCTCTCAGCAGCCATTTGATTGAACATTAATTTAGATGTAATGTTTTATTTCAGAGTTCTTCAAGGTTTCTAATTTTTAAAGAGAAACTGGGTGTCTGTAGTGCCAACTGAGTTACAGAGGGAATTACAGAGATTCATCAGCTTGAACCAAACCAGAAAAACTTTCTGCCAAATAATCCATGAAAATGAAGAAAGCTTCTGTAAGTGGAAAGCAAAAAATAGTAAGAAAATACATGAAACAGGATTTCCATCCAAATCCCAAAGTCACTAGATTCCCAACATCTGTTGATTTATCAGTACTTTTTTTTTTTTACACCTGCTTTATATCATCTTTCATCTGACTCCAACAGCAAACCTAAAAACATTTGCACATCTGGCCCATTTTGCCTGACTTCTCACCTGCTCAAAAAGGAATGTAATTTAATTATTTAGGCTGTGGATTATGAAACCTGTACGCAGCAGCAAGATCTCAGGTGAGCAAAGTTTCTCATCCTTGGAAGTGCAATCATTTTGAAAGACTACTGGTAAAGTTTACAGAACATTATAAAAGGTACAGGATGAACACATCCTCCTCTAGCTTCAGTGTGGACGTTTTACCTGTGATACCACATTTTGGAGTCCAGAATAACAATAAATTATTGCATATAATTGTAAATTCTGTACATAGCAACATTCTTCAGATTTCTTGGGAAGAAGGGAAAGTTTTCATTCCTGTGACAATTCTACTTATCTAAATATGGCAACCACTCAAATAAAAGAGATTAATTTAATTAAAATCCCTTTGAGAGTCATTTTGTTTCTTCATATTCTTTTGACTTGTGCACCTTGACTCTCTTCTCTTACAAAAGCTAAATGAGTTCCATACAGTCAGAGCTCAGGTGAAAAGGAAACATTTTTTTTCTTCTGAAATCAACAGGAACAGAAATAAACATATGTGTATGTCCCCAGCCTAATTAAGACTTTTCTTCTAAATTTGGTTCAGTTCCCTGATTGTGTTGTGCCCCAACTGAGGGTGGCACAGGGGGGGGGGGGGGGGGGGGGGGGGTTTATGGGGAGAAGTCTGTAGACCACTACCTCTGAAGCCTTCGTTTCCTCAGACCATGACCATGAAATCCCCGAACGAGCTCTTCTCATCTCTGTGGGGCAAGATAGTTTGCCTACAGAAATTTTGGAAAACGCAGCTAATGAAAGGGAGTTAAGGTGCAAGCTAATAACCCAGGAGTTAAGATAAGCTGATTTCAACTCTGGATCAGGGATAAAGTTTGTGCTAGTTCAGACGACCGCTGCACTTCAGCATCAGATGAATGGAATTTCAGTTTTGACAGAAAACAAACAGTTTACAATTTCAGCAATGAGTTATGCCAAAACTCCTAACAGCTTGATCACTCAGTGATGCGGGGAACATGTGGTTACAGGCAGCTGCAGAAACTACCTGTCAGGAAGGTCACGGCAGGATGCTGACATACCTCGTTCCGTGTGAGGGAAGGGCTCGAATTAACACTGGTACCATACAGTGCCCCCTCAGCAAGTCTGCGGGTGACAGCAAGCTGAGTGGTGCCGTTGATTCACCGGGGGGAGGGATAATGTCCAGAGGGACCTGGACAGGCTGGAGTCACCCCGTTTCCTCCTTCTGGCTCTGCCAGGGAACGTAAATCCTTGCCCTGCAGGCTCTGGCCCCTGGGGAAGAGCACCTGCCACATGGTGCCATCTGCTGCCCAGCACTGTGGCTTTCAGGTGGCCTCTTCTACAGCACCAACGGGAAAGACCAAGACTTAGTGCTTCCTGGCAGCACCTGCAGCCGACTGCTGGAGCAGAGTCCCTGCTGGCAGCAGGCCCTGCAAGACCTGGAGAGGCAACCTGGGGTCCTGGAGATGGAGAACCACTTCCTGAGACAGAGAAGTTCTCCAGAAGCGTGCAAGGAGGCAGAGAGGTTCCAGCAGAGAAATGCTCAGCTAGCTGCCCTCACTGAGCGGCTGAAAGAAAGATGCAGGCAGCTGCAGGTCACCATCAGGCAGCTGATGCACACTCCAGTGCCACTGCCCAGCCAAAGCTCCGCTGAGGAACTGGGCATGAAATCATTTCCTCAGCAGAGGGCTGGAGAAAGGAGAGAGCCTGCCAGAGCTTTGCTGGCACAGGACCAGCAGAATTAAGTTGTGCCAAAGGTGGCTGAGGAGCTCCAGGCCCAACTGGCTGCAGACAAGGGCTCATATTATGTGAGCAGCCTCAGTCAGAGGTGTGAGGAGCTAGAGGTGCAGCTTCTGGAGATGACAGATGAAAACACCAGACTGGATGAAGAAAATTCTCACCTCTGTGGGCAGATGCTCTGGGCAGAAAAGGTTCAAGCTGAAAACACTGACCTGGAACAGACGTGAGTGGAGAGGAGGGAAATGCTGCCATCCAAGCCATCAGCCATCTGCAAACCTGATGGGAAGTTGCAGAGCACAGACTGAAAGCCCCGAGACATGGCAAAAAGTGCTCAGAGAGAAATAAAAAGGGACCATGGAGAAGCCAACTGTTTTGAGCCCAGGTGAGTGAACCAGAGAATCGGTTTCAGGGCCCCTCAGAGTCAGCTTGGGCAGAGGCCAGTCCTGGGTCCTGCCTTCTTTCAGAGGAGGACCCCGCAAGTGAGACCGAAGAACCAGTAGCAGACAAACAGTCTGTCATCCTGCAGGCTCTGGGACAAGAACTGGGAAAGCTTCAAACATTCATAGCTTGGTACAGCTACAATCCTTTTGATGGTGGCAGTGGGCAGCCTGAACTAGCTTCCTCTAACTTCTAGACAAGCTGTTTATGTCCTTGGGCGGGGAGAGAGCTGGTGGATGGCACAAGAGGATTCATCCCCTCTACTTTTGCTGAAGAAGATTCAGACGTTGACCTGCAAAACAAGAACTGGAATGATCCTTGTTATTACATGTTTGGTCTCTCGCCTATTTTGCAGGAAGATGAAGAGCATCTAGATGTGGGTGGAGGGGGCTAAAAAGCATAAATAAATGTAGCCCGTATCAACCTCCAGAATATTTACAAAGTGAACTTAAAAGTGATTTTTTCTGTAGACTTCTATATTTTGTGGAAGGGGGGGACCTCTGTAGGGCAGCAGGGGCCTCCAGTGGGCCCCAGCAAAGCCCAGACGAGGCCCCAAGGCAGTCTTGAGGGGAATTAAGGGTGCAAAGCTCCCTGCTGAGCCCAGCTATTGTCCTGGAGTGCTCTGGAGGGTCATTTGGGGCCTGCACAAGCCCCTGCAGAGCCCAGGTCAGGCCCTGGGGTACTCTGGAGTGTAATTATGGCCCCACATGGGTCCCTGCAGAACACAGCAAAGGCCCCTAGGGCTTTCCAGACAGCACCTCTGCCATTAGAGCAACACTGCTGTTAGCAGCACTGGGGACCCTCCTCTCGGGGCTGGTTGGTGTCTTCACCGTGAGGAGCAGAAAGAAGCAAAACAGCAAGTGGCATTGCCCAAGGGACCATCTGTAGGCATTGCTCACACACCAGCATGTGTTTCCAGGGCACCTCAAACCCACTGCTGCCCACGCGTTCGCACCCTGGAAGCAAGCTGGATGAATAGGCTGGGCTTGGCCAGGCTTTCCAGAGCGTCCCCATGTCCTTTCCCCAGCCCAAACCGGCCCTGCAGGTCTTCTGGCTCAGCAATGCTTCTGCTGCTGGCGTCCTTCAAGTGTTGCCCATTAAAGCACTTGAGTCTGATGCCTGGCCGTGTGCCTGCTACTGGAGGTAGCATGGGGGTGGTGAGTGTGCAATCGCTGCCCACACAGAAAGCACCCAGAGGAGCACGGGCTCAAGGACGTCCCCTGTGCTTGCTGCTCGTGCTCCTTGGGAGCGTTTCACTGACTGCTTCTTCCACAGGCTGCTTCCAGTCACTAGGGACTTCACCTGACTGCCATAACTTTTCAAATATCGTGGAGAGTTGCTTGGCAACTACATCAGTCAGTTTCCTCAGGACTCTGGCACACATCTCCTCAGGTCCCACAGACTTATGTATGTTCAGGTTCTGCAGGTAGTCATGAACCTGATCTTCCCTTAGAGTGGGATGGACTTTGCTCCCCCAGCCCCTGCCTCGAGAGGTGTGGGAAGAGAGGTTGCCAGTAAAGACTGAGGCAAAAAAGTTGAGTAGCTCAGCTTTCTCATCATCCATTGCTACCAGTTTGCTGGTTCTTCCACAGGCTACTTTTTTAAAAAAGAAAACAAACCAACAGAGCACCCTGGTCTGCCCTTGTTGTTCCTCTTAGAAAATAAAGAGCACCCAGGCGTTCTTCCTTCCTGGACCACCGCACACCAAGTAGATTTCGACTGGAGATAAGGAAGAAATTTTTTACTGTGAAGAAGGTGAGGCTCTGGAACAGGTTGCCCAGAGAAGGTGTGGATGCCCCATCATTGTCACTGTTCACCATCAGGTTGGACGGGGCTTTGAGTAACCTGGTCTAGTGCAAGATGTCTCTGCCCATGGCAGGGGGGTTGGACCTAGATGATCTTTGAAGGTCCCTTCCAACCCAAACCATTCTATGATTCTGTAATGGAGAAAACTGTGTTAATGTTGCTAGTTACAGCGCTAACACGTTCCCTCACCTCAAAGCCAGCTGTATTCAAACACTCGATAGCAAGACACACAATTAGATTGTGTTTGTACACGGGAATCATTTCAGAAACATCAGAATCAGGGTCAGAGGGTCCTTCCCAAAGCGTCTCTAACATGAGCAAGTGTTAAAATAACAAAATCAAACCTCAGTAACTGTTAATGGATTCTCACTTGTAGTTTGCAATACTAAAATTTGCTATTTAACTCAGCATGGAGTACTGGTGCATGTACTAATACCAATAATAATATCGTAAGAGCCAAAACATGAAGAAATCTATTACAGGCAGATGTAGAATTGTGCAGAACATAGAAGCAATGATGTGGCATTCAAATAAAAGATGGAAATGCAAATCCCCTTGTGCAATATGATCAGAAATAAGAAAACTGAAGATAGAAACAGCATGCCAAAAAAGCGAGAAGCAGGCCAAAAAAGGAGGAATTGAAGTAGCTGAGATGAGAGATAGTCAGGCACAAGTGGGACAAAGGAATATTTCATAGCCCCAGTGAAATAAACACTGGGTATTTGGAACAGTAACTATGCGACATGTTCTGAACAACATTCATGTTGTTTCCTCTGAGTAGTTAAAAACAACGTTTTTGCTTCATTGTTATGTTTGAGAAAATACTGCCTGTTCTTAAGAACTGCAATTTGCCTTCCACTCCTGGAACCAGTGGGGAGTTAACTGTTGTGCTTCCAGTCTAAGAAACAACCTCAAGTCAAACAATCTGTACACCCACCAAAGTCCCTGAATCACCTCGGCTAGCCACTGTGTATTTTGGACATCACGGTCACAAAATTACAACATTTGGCAAGCACTTAATTTGCTGCTAAAGCAGCTACAAAGCTATTTCTACCTTCTAAACTGTGGAGCCAAATCATCTGGCAAGTTCCCATGAAATATCTATACAGACCTGGTTCCACAGAGCTGTGTTCTGGTGTCCTAACTACTGAACCTATCCGAGAGTTGTGGCAGAACAAATTACATGTGGCTACTCATGACTGTAAGTTTAAGGAGAAACCAGGTGAAGTCCCTGTTCCAGTTTTTTGCTGACATATTTGGCATTAAGCTTTCCACATTTGCTCTGTCTTTGCTATAAGACATTCTACTGTTGATGCCAACATTGTAATTAATTTACAGCACATTGTGGACAGTCTCTACTGAAAACTTATGACACCAGTTAGTCTTAAAAGCATCCCCAGCCCTTCAGGCGGGTTTCACTGCCATCCGAATATAGTGCTCTACACACGTACACAAAAATTTCCACCTAGCAAAGCGCATGCATGACTAAACCAAATATTCTAGTGCATTAGTGCTTACCCAAGTATACTTGCCAAGTCATCATCTTTCGTAACAAGCTGACCAGGATGTGGTTTAATTGCATTAAGTCACCAAACGATCAAAGATAATTTGACATGGCTGAAGGCAATATTCCATTTTTCCGAAGAGGTTTCACAGTCAACTTAGCAGAGTGCTACACCACACCAAGAGTTAGTGACAGGTTCCCTAACCAGTATCTTAAAGCTTTAAATTCACCTAAAAATTGCAGATACAAATGTAATTCACATATGGTGAATTACCATTCAATTGTGAGTTATTTAAAGTTTCATCACGCTTTAGTACTTCATAAAGAAAACACAGGAAAACATGAAGAAAAGTCACAGCAAATTATGTCTAAGAGATTGCTAGTTTTAAACTATATCCATTAAAGAACACTTTTACAAAAAGCTACAAAGAATTTAAGTCTCACAGTTTAAGAGAAGATGTGGGAAGAGCACACCTTGTTTGCCTCAAATGCAAATTATTTCAAGCAAAAGAAACTGCAGGATAATATCTGCCTTCTTCTGTAGAAGCCCAAAGCTCAGAGCATCAACACTTCAGAAAATAAAGCAAAGTGGTGTCATTATCAATGGAAAGCATAACATAAGGAGTTGTATAATGCAGAAACAACACTGCCAGCTTTCACAGCAAAGATTTTCTTCCTTGCAGGGTTTTACAAAGGATGTGATCTGACTAAACAGTCATAAACAACCTTGACAGTTTTTCTCCAGTGCGCTTAGCAAGGGAGCAGACAAGACTATAGCTAGTTATATGCCTGCTAAGAACACTTACATTTGAAGAAAGAAAATCTCCTTCCAGTTCTAAATTAAGTATTTACCACTGATATCTTTTTCCTAAAACATATGGAATTATTCTTATTGACAATTTTCCAGCATAAATATATTTAATATCTCTATCCATCTCTGAACAGGAATTCACCATAACATCAATTAATCAAAAAATATTTTTAAAAATAATTTTTAAAATGGCTGATTCCATGGTTCTAAATGCAACAACATAGAATTTGATACCAAGAAACTTTCAAACTGGACATCATAAAGGAAGCCTTCCATCCCACCGACATCCCAGGCCTCAAAAAATCACAGGCGCTTCAAGCACAACATGGTGAGGTTTACGATGGATGGCTACCTCTGAAAGTTGTACTGAAAGCTCAATTTTATACTGGATTCCTTATTCTTTTAATACAAACAAATCAAAGAAAATTATGAGATGTTAAGAGTTTAAATGCAGACATTGATATATATTCTTAAAATATATACAATAAGAATTATTTAAAAATGTAATATGAACTTTATTGCATATATAATTCCATAATCATTTGGAGATATGAGGAATAAATACAACAAAACCTTTAAGTTGCCAAAGGTAGGAGATATATATCTGAACAGAATTGTCTATCCGAGTGACATAAATCATCTTGGAGATTACCGAACCATTTGATTTCAAATTCTGTGGCTGATGCAGTTACCAATGATGACAGCGCTGAAGGGCCTATGCATTTTACCTCGCCCTGAAATTCCTCTTTTAGTTTTTCTGGTATGAGATCTTGCTCCATAACCTGCAAACACAGTAAGAAAGATGAGAAACAAGAAAATAACTTGCAGAGAAAACAACAAATATGACATTAATAACAGATTTTTACAAGAAAAGCTCTTGACACATGAACCACATGCCATGCAGGAGAAGTTTCCAAGTCACGATCAAGTTGTCTGCCTGTTGCACTCTGCAATAACCACCGAGAACTGAGTGCCCAAGCTACAGAGCTGCACAACCCCACCCAGCTTCTGGCTACGCTTGTGCAGGGGGATTTTTACTCTCCGAGCGCCAGCGGAACTCTCTCAACACCAGTGCTCTGCATTCAGTGCTCACCTTGCAAAGGCACCAACACTCATCTCCTCCCCAGGGTGTCAAGGGAAGCAAGGAAACAAGTTTCTTTTCCAAGCGTCCTAAAACCTGAGATAGTCTGCATGCTGCTGCCCTCTTACGGGTGAAATCCCACACGACTGCCCGCCACCCTGGCAACGGCTTGGTGCTCACTAACTTAAAGTGTAAGACTGACAGCGAAGTTAGAATCTCACTAGCTTCCTTTTATTCCTTAAATTAAAAGTCAGAAACTCTATAAATAGCACTAAAAATGTTTAATCTCTATGAATAAAGTAATGCAATGTTACTCTCCTCCTATGTATTTCTTTAAAAACAGAATCCAGTACATCAAACAGGACAAAGAAATAATGTAAAAGGATGTCTCTGTCTTCTTCTGAAAATGTTTAATACTTTTTCTGGAAGTGTTTAATACTGCTGTAGTCATCAAAGTAATCTCCACTTCCATTTCATACTTGTGATTCACTCTGTGGTATCTAAAATTCCTGAGATAAAATCTGCATCCCAAGAAACAGTGATGATGAATCTGCAAGTACACATCCAGTGAGAAACTTAACAACCCTGAACATTCCTGAAAGGAGAATCTCAGCAGAACAGAAATACACCGGCATGACACAGCCAGTGCTATATAGCTATCACTGTCAGTTCCAGATAATGCACTACCAGGACAACTGGTCCCAGCTAATTTACCTTGTTTCCTGGCACAGTTAATTACCTGAGGGGAGTGTCATGCTTACAGACAGGACTTTGTGCCTGAACTGGCTCAGGTACCTCAACCAGCCTACGTATAGCTGAGAACTTGCACACTGTGAAACATCCCCTTACCTTGGTCATCAACAGCATGGAGTTTTCACTGAAACCAAGTCGTGCCACTTTGTCATCAATTTCTTTTTGACCTTCTATGTTATTTTCTAATGCAAAGGATGACTGCTGTAACTGAATAAGCTGAAGTAAAAGCCTGCAACAAAAAAGGCAGTTCAAAAAAAGGCACAGCTGGCAAAAGAGCAAGTCAGCAAACCTAAACCCAACCAAAATACAATACTTAAGAACAGCTCTTCTTCCTGACTTTTGCCAACTGCAAAACCTGCAAAGAAGTGAATACATCCATATCAATCTACTATGGGTATGGTATACCCTTGCTACGACAGAAGTACTGAGAAGTGCAAACATTTTTCTCTCTACGTATTCATCACACAATTTAAAAGTGAAGCTTGGATCTGCTAGCATTAACTGTAGTACATCAGGTGCCCCACATCCTTATTAAGGCCTAACAAGACAGCAGTGCTTTTTTGCCTACGGCAGTAATTGACTTTGTAACCCAAAAAGCTAGAAATTTGGGGGTTTTAGACAAATCTCAAACATTCACCCCACATAGGC